CCCAGGGGGGATGGTCATGCCACAATCCCTTCTCCTCCATTCTCCTCTCGGGATCTTGGGCACGCACACACATGCGCCCGGCGTGAGTTTTAAGCCACCGGGTCCGGGACGTGAACCAAGGTCGACTACGTGGGAGTCCAGCGACACAGCCATCACGCTAACTGCTGGTTCCCATGATGTGGTTTTCTATGCAAAAATGCGACACGACTTTCCTGACGCTCCAGTAACATCTGAGTGAGGCCTCTCTGTGCTACCTGCCAGGGCGCGTCGCGGTCATCGTGCATCCCGGGCAAATGCTCCAACCTCTGCAGGGCTCCTCTGACGTGCGTTGCGTCTATGAACTCCCCGGGGGAGGACCATGTGCTGTGCTGGGAGGCTACCGGCCTGGGCCCCGAACAGGGCAGGTGCTCTTGGCTGCCGCGTAGCTGTGTCCCTTCAGGTCGCCAAAGATTTGTGTTTTCTTTTTTTTTACAAAAGCTACGTCATCCCTACTTATTCTGAATTTCTACTGCTTCTTCTCCTGTTCCTTTTTTTTTTTTTGGTGGTGGGGGGGGGCAGATTTTGCTATAGGGCACATGTGCTCGCCAGAAAGAGAGAGACAGACAGACAGAAAGTGAGAAATCACCCCCCAGGGGGGATGGCCACGCCGCAATCCCTTCTCCTCCATTCTCCTCTCGGGATCTTGGCATGCATGCACACGCGCCTGGCGTGAGTTTTTAAGTCACCGGGTCCGGGACGCGAACCGCGGTCGGCTACATGGGAGTCTAGCGACATAGCCACTACGCTAACTGCTGGTCCCCTCCTGTTCCATTTCAAACTGACTGCTGCAGTGTTCAGAGAGAATGGCTCAAGGCGGCCCCTGACCAGCCGCCTGACCGGACCTCTGAGAGCCGTTCCAACTCTGCCCCGACTCTTCCTGCTATCAGAGTAGATGAACTCCCACGCCCTCTGCTGGTGGAGCAACAGAGCCTCTGCCTCTGGTGAACTTGCAGCCCTCCCAGGTCAGCACAGGCTGGGCCGGGCAACCTGACGGTAGGTCGCGTGTGCTCCCAAGCCTCACGGACCTCAGCTCCTTCCTTCTTTTTTAATTTGCCAGAGGGCATGTGTTTGTCAGAGAGAGACGGAGAGGGGGAGAGGAAGAAAGCGCCCCGAATGGGGTGTGGCTTCACTACGATCCTTTCTCTTTCATTCCTGCACCCTGTCTGGAATAGAGAGTGCATGCACACCCACATGCACACGCACACGCACACGCCCAGTGAGTTTTTCAAGCCACCAGGGCTGGGATTCAAAGAGTATAATCAACCAGGTGGGATCTGGTTTCCTTTTTTAAATTTTATTATTATTATTGTTTATTTATTAATTTTTTAAAGAGGTTTTTGCTATAGGGCGTGTGCGCTCGCCAGACAGACAGAGACAGACAGAAAGCAAGAAATCACCCCCCGGGGGGGTGGCCACGCCGCAGTCCCTTCTCCTCCATTCTCCTCTTGGGATCTTGGGCACGCACGCACATACACCCGGCATGAGTTTAAGCCACCGGTTCCGGGACGCGAACCACAGTCAACTACATGGGAGTCCAGCGACATAGCCATTACGCTAACTGCTGGTCCCTATTTTTGTTTATTTTGAGAGAGATTTTTGTTATAGGATACGTGAACTCACCAGAGAGAGACAGAAAGCGAGAAACCACTCCCCTGGGGGGATGGCCATGCTGCAATCCCCTCTCCTCCCCTCTCCTCTCGAGATTTTGGGCACACACGTACGCAACACGTGAGTTTAAGCCACTAGGTCTGGGACTCAAATCGCAGTTTGACCACATGGGAGTCCAGCCACGTAACCATTAGACCGTCTGCTGGTCCCCCAATTACTATTTTTTTAATCTTAAGATTTTTGTCTTGGGTCAGCAGGTGGTGTGGTGGTTAGGGGAGCTGGACTCCCACATGGCCAACAATGGTTCAAATCTTGAACCTGGGCTTGCCTTCCTCCCCTTCCCCCTCACCAAAATAAAACAAAAGTTAAAAAAAAAAAAAAAAAACCTGCCATAGGGCACATGCACTTGCCAGAGATAGTGAAAGGGAAAGTGAGAACTCAAGCCCCGGGGGGGATGACCACACCACAATTCCTTCTCCTCCATTCACCTCCTGGGATTTGGGGCACCCGTGCACATGCACCCTGTGTGATTTTCAAGCCACCAGGTCCAGAATTCGAACCATGACTGGCCATGAAGGAGTCCAGCACCTTAAAGAACAAGCCACCTGCTGGCCCACCACCAGGCCATGGAGCCAGTCCTCCTTGCCCTTCAAAACAACGCCAGTTTCCCCAACAAATGCCCCACAAAACACAGCGCCTCCCCTTCCTGACGGCTCTCCAATGTCACACCAGAGGCCCGCTCGCTCACACCAGCCTGGGCCACCTGGTGCTGCAGACCATCAGCTGTCCTGCCCGACCCAGCACTCAGCCAATACGATGCACCCTGCCCTGCCGCAGCTAACCACGCCCACCGATAGCCGCCCTGTCCTGCCCGAGGCCCCCGACACTGCACTTTGACACGCCTACAGCACAACCTGGTGTCTGCGAGCAGAGGCCGGTCTGCAGGCACACGGGCCATCCGAGGACACAGCCCGTAGCCCTCGGGCCTGCAGAGCAGTCCGAGCCGCTGGACTGACTCTGTGACCATCCTGCCTCCGCTGTGAACACACTTGGCCTCCGGGCCACTCCCTGCCTCAGCCCCCAAACCAGTCCCTCCCCACTGCACCCGTCTTCAGCACGCTGGGCTGTTGGTCAGTGCCGCTTTGACCAGAGGCGGCTAGGGGAGAAGCCTGGTCCTCAGTCCCTCAGTCCCGACCCACAGGTTCTCGGGCCCCTCAGGAGTCCCGCTCTAGCTCTCCTCTTAGCGCAACTCACCTTGAAGGCTGGTCCCGGAGTCCTGTCCACGTAGGGGGTCTCCGATCCTTCAACTCTCAAGGGTGTGTTCTCGACCTCCCCCCAGGTCATCAGCGGGGACTCGTTCACACCTGCAGGCGGGCAGCCACAGCCACCTCAGACCAGGGGCCCAGGGTGAGGGGTGCCGCCCGGCCTCCCCCCATCATAGTTCACCTGTGTGTACTCCAGGGAGCATTAAGGCCAGCGGCTAGCCCTCCCACCCTGGAGAGAACCCTGGCACCACCGTCCCGAGAGGGAAACGCCAGGGTCCCTGGGCCCAAGGCCAGTGTGGGCCCTACAGCCATGTGTTGGCCTGGGTGAGCGGGGATGACCCCGAAAAGCTGGGCCCCCATCCTAGCATCTCTTCCTGGAGGTCCTTCCCCACCCGAGGGAGTAGATACTTGGGCTGCCAAGGGCCCCAACCCCCTAGACCCCTGGGCAGACCCCTCGTGCCCTGGCCTGTGCCCAAGCACGCAGAGGCCAGCATGAAGGACACAGGGAGGCCCCTGCCACCGTGGGTCTGTCTGAGTCTCACCTGCCTCCCATGAGCAGACTCAGACCCCCGCCCCAAGGGCATACCCTCTGGACTAAACCCATAACTACCTGCAGGTGTCCCCGGGAGGACGAGGACAGGAGACATTTCCCCTGGGCCTTCAGGTCATTTCAGCCCAAGAACCCAGGCCACCGACCCTCCAGACAGCCCAGGCACCTGCCTCCCAGGGCCCCGGAGCCCAGTCCTGTCCCCAGAGGGGAGTCCAGTCCCTGAGTCACACACGGGGCAGACCAGGTAAGTCACCAGGAGCGGCTGGGACTAACTGAGGAGCTCCCGCCCCCCCGGGCACGCCCAGCGCAAGCCAGCGTTTCTCACCAGGGGCAGGAGAAGGGGTGGCCACGAATCCAAACCCGCCCACGCGGGGGGACTCCTGGGGTATCAGTTCCTTGCCGTCGGGGCCCACCTTGCCCTGTTTGTGCTGGAACAAGCAGAGAAGCTCGTGTCGGGGGCCGAGCCTGCCCTCCCAGCGCAGGGACAGCTGGACTCACCGCCCGCCTCAGTGGGGCCGAGGCCCTGGGGCTGGCAGTCCCCTCAGGGAAATCAAGGAGAACCA